CTTGCCAGTAACTTCTTGTGGGTCAGTGGTTCTTTCGGGTGATTTCCTTGTTTCTTCCTCCACCATTAATACTGTCTGCCATGAATAGCCTATCGTGTGCTGAAAAATGGCGTTTAGCCCAACAACAACAAGTTTTTGTTCATTTAGCTCATAACAAAATAGTTTTTTTGGGATCCTTTTTGTATGTGTGTGTGTGTGTGTGTGTGTATGTGTGTGTGTTCATAAAACTTTTTGAGGGGATATATTCTTTACTGAATTTTATGCTTAAGTTTATTTTTCAAGATACGTTCATGGCATAATCTTCAAGCTGTTAAAACCATACCATAAGAGCAAATAAATATTGTGGCCTACAGTTTTTGCACTTTGCTCATAACTACCTTGTATACGTCTGCAAAACCAAGATTCATGAAACTCATAAAGGAGAGGCATCTTGATGAGTACTACACACTCATAACAGAAGGAGGTCACTGTGAACCATATTTCTGTTATTACTACACCATAACAACAAAAGAATGCCATTGTGAACTGCATGTTACATTTGATTGGTTTAAGATTTTGCATTAAGTTTATGATACAATTAAACCTGGAGTCATGACACTTGGTGAGGTGATGCATCTTGATAAGTAATACAAGAAGTAGGTCACTGTAACCCCTATTTATCATTTCACAGGCTTTGGCTCAGTTTAATGTTGTTATGATACATGCTTTAATTATTAAAGTGGATGCTTATTGGTACTACACCCATACAAAAAAATGTCACTGACCTATGTTTAACAGTTTACTGGATCAAGTAAAAAATTTTATTTAGCTTATAACTACATACGTGTTTGACATGATATGTACATACTATCGTATTTATAATCATGAAAATTGCTACCTGGAAGTATGAAACTTGGTGAGTGGATACATCTAGACAAGTTATACATCCATTTTATTAGAAAAGGCTTCTGTGACCTATATTTTATTCTTCAATGACTTTGTTTGAAGTTGTGTTCATTTGTTTGGGTGCTGTTTAATTTCCAGCCATGAAACATGATAACTAGATGAAGCTGTGTTACTATTGCACCCTGAAAGGTAAAGATCACTGTGACCTACATTTTAGGTTTTACTTACATGGGTTAAATATGTCCCAGCCTAATAAGAAGGACCTTTGTGACTACTGCAGTTGAAAGTAGGAATAAATATGTTTATTCAGTGGTTAACATTTAATATTAGCATAGTAAACTTTTCATATTCAGTGTCTATTTTCAAAATGAAAGTTTGGAATGGAAACTACCACTCCATTTGTTAAAATGAGAGGGGACAAAAAAATTGAAAATAGGAATTTTTTAAAATGAAGAAATAAAGGTAGGGCTTGAAATCTTAGGTGAAATTTTCACACATTTGGTTGATTTTTCTGGGATTTAAAAAAAAAAATAAGTACAAATCTTATAATTGCATGTCCTATAATAGATGCTGTATTAATGACTGTTGTATATTTTAGCATGCTACCCTCAGCAGGTTAATTGTCAATTAGGAATCAGTATAGACTGTATGCTGTTCTTTAATGTGAGCACTACCTACAGTTGCTAATCCAGATCATTATTAATACATGAACTATGTGCTGTCACACCAGGGTTACTCAAAGCCTATGACTTTAAGCCTGTAAAATATGGCTTCTATAGGTGGACAGTGACAATAGCTTGTTGAGCAAAATTTAAGATCATTGATTTTATAAAATTGATGCACATAAAAAATAATCTGAGCATTATCTACTTGGTGTTGTGCCTCTTTAATATTTTAGAAAAGACTATGTTGGTCTTAAGAGCTTAAATGATGGACTGTTGTCCATTGCTTGTTATCCAGTGTTCATTGTTCAGTGTCTCTCCACCCATTGGCTCAGATTTGTTATTGCTACTACCTCAAAGCTTTCTGGATGATTGCAGTGAAATTTTGCAGATACATTCATCCCATGGTCTGGTTGGTCTTAAATGAAAATCACGATGACAGCCAATATGGCCACCAGTGACCAACTGGCCATTTTGAATGCCTTGTTGACTCCACTTTTTTTGAATAGAAAATCATATCAACTTGTGATTTCACAAGAAGACATGTTTTAATGTCTAGCTGGTCCTCAGTGAATTCGGACCAATCAAACATCCAATATGGCCCCACTGCAGCCATCTTGGTAATCTTTTTATTGCTAATCCTTCTAAATGGAAAGTCATATTGACATGAAGTTCTCACGTAAATAACGTCTTATGATGTTTAATTGAACTTGAATGAAAATGTTGCTGATTTAACAAACAATATGGCCACCATGGCAGTCATCTTGAAAATCTTGTTATTGCTAATTCTTGTGAAGAGATAGTCTTTGATATGGAATTTTCTGATGAACAGAAAGTCATAATGACATCGGGTTTTCACCAGAAAACATCTCATGATGTCTTTTGGTCTTAAGTAAAAATGGTGTTTCTCATATAGCATGTATTGCCAACACAGCAGCCATCTTGAAAATCTTGTTGTTATTCCTCCTGAATGGATGGCCATATCAAAATGAGGTTTTCACTGAAAGACTTCATCTGATGCCTAGATGAAAATGGTCCTGATCTCAAGTCAGATGTATTCACCATCTTGTAAATATTGGTATTGTTACTTATTTTGAATGAAAAATCAAATTAGGATATGGTGGTCACCAAAAACTTCATTACAATGACTAGTTGATTGTAAATAAAAAATCATCTCACAAGATTTCTTATAATGACTAGTTGATTCTAAATGAAAACTCATATCACCAGAAGATTTATTATAATGACGAGTTGATTGTTGATGAAAAGTCATCTCACCAGATGATTTTTTTTATAATTACTAGTTGATTATAAATGAAGTCATCTCACCAGAAGATATATGATAATGACTAGTTAAATTATAAATGAAAAGTCATCTCACCAGCAGATTTATGATAATGACTAGTTGATTGTAAATGAAAAGTCATCTCATCATCAGATTTATTACAGTGACTAGTTGATTGTAAATGAAAAGTTATCTCACCAGGAGATTCATTACAATGACTAGTTCATTGTGAATGAAAAGTTATCACACCAGAAGATTTATTACAATGACTAGTTGATTGTAAATGAAGTCATCAGAAGATTTATTATAATGACCAGTTGATTGTAAATGAAAATTCGTCTCGCCTGAAGAGTTATTATAATGATTAGTTGATTGTGAATGAAAAGTCATCTTACCAGAAGATTTATTACAATGACTAGCAGATTGTAAATGAAAAGTCATCTCACCAGAAGATTTATTATAATGACTAGTTGATTGTAAATGAAAAATGTGCTGATCTGACATAAGATACTATCAGCACAGCAGCCATCTTGAAAATCATGTTATCACTACTCCGGAATGAATGCTCGTGCTCACATGGGATTTAAAACAAAAGACTTCTACAAAAATGGTTTTGATCTTACAACCAATATGGCTGATATGGTTGCTAATTTGAAAATCTTGATATTGTTAAGAAATATAAGACATGGTTTGAAAACTCAGCAGTTAGAAAGAACAAAGGATTTTTTCTTTACTGCCAGGAATTTTTTTTCAGCTAGTAGGGCATCATTCCATTAAGGGACAGTTATCTTTGTCCAGTAACAGTATGACTAAGGTAAGTAGGTAGATGGGTTGGTGGCAGGATGGGTAGTAAGGAAGGTTGATAGTTGTTTCAAAGTTTGTCAGCACAAGATTGAAAAAAGAAATTAATCAGAAAATTGATTTTCTGAATGATACCATATATGATGGTCCATGGAGACCTGCAGTAGTGGAAGTGATCAATATAAGTGTTGATTACACTCTGGCTTTGAGCTCTTCTGTTTATCATTCATTGTTCTGAATCAGTTTTGCATTTTACGTTCATTCATCATTTTGTTTGAATTTTGATTCTGCAGTTTGCTTGCATTCATTCTGCATTGTTTGCTTTCCATTTTGCTTATACAATACTCATTGTGTGTGTTTACATAATTTGGAACATGTTATTTGAAACTTGAAATGATGTATTTGCCTTTTTTATTACATATTTTTTTCTCACAAGTATCTTCACAAGATTTATTGTCTCAATAGTATTTATTATTGTTTTGTCCTCCAAACTTATGCTGGTACTTTATTTTTTTTTTTGCATAAAAACCTTTATTATATCACTGATGATACTGTGTTAATCAGTCTGAGGCCAGATTTAGCTTTTATAAAAGGTAATTAAATGTGGGATAATAGTAATTAATTTTAGAAAAACTTATGTAGGTTATGTAATATTCTTGTTTCCATAAGAGTGACAAGAATAAATTTACTTTCTTTGTTATTTGAGGAATGTATAGAGACCCCTTTGCATTGTTTTCACGAGAAACAACTTTGTTATGTGCAACCATCAAGAAGATACCATTATTATAATATATACTGAGGTGTTTGTTCATCATTATTTTGTTTAGTTTCCATAAGAAGTACATTAGTTAGTATTTTTTATCATTGATTTTCCACACACCAGATATCAAGATTTTTTAGATTTGTCTAGTATTGATTGAAGCTCATCTTTTGAATTTTATTTATCTCAAAGTGCAGTTTTATCTGCATATTGGTCTGTGGAGGATATTGTATTACAATACAGTTTGATCCATTGAGGATATTGTTTCACAATATGGTTCAGTCTGCATACTGTGAGGCCTGTTGAGGTTATTGTATCACCTATTTACATGTGTGTGGCAGGTCATTTATAAATAGCACAAATGATAGAGGCGTCATAATTGATTTATGTATAACTTTTTTTTCTTCTGATATTATGTATTTGTCCATGCATCAACTCTTTGAAAACTATTAAATATGACTCAAACCATCTCAGGATTAAGTTACTGCTCCTAGATCTCAAGTTTGCTTTGGTTTTTGTTGGTCCTAATGGCATGTTCAATACATTGGCTATGTCATGCTGAAGGAATATGAAGTAAGTGCCTCCCCATGGACATACCTAAGATAACTGGCCTGGGCAGGTATCATACCCTCCTATCCTTTGATTAGTAGTCAAATACTCTACCAGATGAGTCACCATGGCTCCACTTAAATGTTTGTAACAGTATTATAAATCATTAAAATCAAAAGTTTTTCGAACAGCAAAACTTAGATTATTTAATTTTTCAGTTTCCCTTAACTTAAACACTTTGGCCTCCACAAACATTTCAAATACTGTAAAATTAAAACTATTCTTGGGGATAAAAGTTTGTGGCTTCGGAGCAAACATAAATTTGTGCAGATAAATATCATGGCATCGCATTGTTTACCATAACACCCAGCAAATAATATCTTAAGTAGAGGCTTTTATAAGGCAGATATTATTATCCAAGAAAAACAAAATCCTGCATATATATTTCTGATTCTGACAGTAAATATTCTCATGTCTGTATATTTATGACTCTGAAAAATGCAAATTGAACTACATTTTGGTTTACATGGCTGTATTAAACTGTCCTTGTCACAAAATTTTCAGATGTCTTCAAATGCAGCAATATTTGATTGACAAGCTTTTGACAACTAATCTGTCAAAATTATATCAATATTGCCAAAAATTTACAAGGCTTCATTCTTTTTCCCTTTTAATGGTAATAATATGGCACTATACCTTTAAAACTATGTTGACTAAATTGTCAGGGCTGTGGTAGCTGTGTTGGAAGTGTCATACTGATGTGGGTCCCCAAGTAGCCGTGTGGTCTAAAGTGCTCTCCGTTACAGATCACTGCCATCTCACCTCTGTATCAGTTCGAGTCTAGGATTCCTGAGTCTAGGATTCCTCGAACATGGATATGTGGGAAAGCTTGCCAGTAGCTTCTTTTTCTTGGTTGGTGTTTCTTTCCGGGGATTTCAGTAGCTTCTTTTTCTTTGTTCTTTCTGGGGATTTCTGGTTTCTTCCTCCACTATTAATACTGGCAGCCATGTATAGCCTATCGTGTGCTGAAAAATGGTGTTAAGGCCCACAACAACAACATCATACTGATGTTCTAAGGGTTGTGGAATAGATTGCCAACCAGACCAGTCTGGGTTGACTGCCTTTGTCTGCCCTTGGAAAGGCTCACAGCTCAGATTTCTCTGGCAAGATATGACCATTAATGTGTTAAAAGTGTTGTTAAACCAGTCATTCAGCCATCCATAACAAACATGATAACACCAGCATTGCTATATCTCACATTTTTCTTCAGAAGAGCAAGACTATAAAGTGTGTATGTGTGTGTGTGTGTGTGTGTGTGTGTGTGTGCGCAATTTACAGAGATATATCACAATTTAGTACATGTGTACTCTTAAAAATTTGATAAAAGAAAAGCATCAAGGTCATAAAATTGCACAAAATTTAGTAATTTCACTCATCAATTTATAATTTCTAACTTTCACCAGGCAGTCCTTAACACTGTCTTTGGCATATTTCAAACCAAATGGTAGTTTTTTTTATTAACATGGTGACATATCTCAGTGTGTGGGAAGTCTGACGACATTTGTGAGGTAATTCACAATCTTCAATATGCTACATCCTTTAGAACACATATTTTTAGAGTTACACTTTTTTTATTTTGTTCAATTAATTTAGAAATATTAAAAGTCAGAGTGTGGTGATTGTGGATTCAAAATTATGATTGGTTTGAAAGGAATGTCTCAGAGTATGATGATTGGATTCAAAATTATGATTGGTTTGAAAGGAATGTCTCAGAGTGTGGTGATTGTGGATTCAAAATTATGATTGGTTTGAAAGGAATGTCTCAGAGTATGATGATTGGATTCAAAATTATGATTGGTTTGAAAGGAATGTCTCTGAAGAGTGTGGTGATTTTGGATTCAAAATATGATGGGCTTGGAAGGAAGATTCCAAACCATATACCAGTGATTTTTTTTTCTCAAATCTTATTCAAAGATGGTATGAATTGTTGTTTTGTGGCACAGCAGCACAAGTAGGTTACTTGAATCCAGAGTCAAAGGCTTAGCCACAGCAGCTGAAACAGGATGATCCAATAGTAGGTTTCATATCTGCAATTCACAGATCAGGATGCTGACCAGACCACTGAGCCAACTTATAACAAAAGTCTCTCAGCATTAAGAGGTCAGTGTTAGGACTGGTCAGCCTGGTGTCAGGATAATGTCACTGGGTGGGACATTATGTAACATGTCTTTGGCATGATGCCCCAGTGTTAGACATCACTGTAAGCTGCCACACTGCAGACATCGTAGCAATATGACTGAAAAATTGTTAAAGTTACATTAAAAATCATAATCACATCACATCACATCACATCACATCACAATAACAATCCTAGGTTTTCATAGACTTTTGAGAGTACAGTTAGAAACCTATATGATGAAATACATCATGATTTTGTTGGTGTATATATTCTTTTATAAATTTGCTCATTAATATATTTTTTTTATATATTATTTCATATATCTTTCATCCATCCATTCCTTATACTGCATAGAAACACTTTCATTCATTTTTCAGTAATTTTTGTAAGATATTCATTCAATCATATATTAATTTAACTACAGGTATTTGTTCATTGAATTCCATTTTTCATGCTATCATATGTATACACACTGTATACCTGTCTGTGTGTAAAGATTTAACAGTATATATATATATATATATATATATATATATATATATATATATATATATATATATATATATATATATATATATATATATACTGGTTATAAGTTGAGTTCAAATGCAAACAACGTAGACCCTGTTCTGCCATTGCATAATGTCAGCAAATCAGAGTCTGTCTTGTTTGTTCTAATGATTATCACTAACAAGCTGCATTACACAGATCTTCTGGCACATAATATTGGGGCAGATTTGGATCTATGCAGTTTCACTTATATATATATATATATATATATATATATATATATATATATATATATATATATATATATATATATATATATATATATATATTTACCTGCATCATAATGAAGACCACCTTTTACTGGTTCCCTGAGTATTTGTTATACTTTGGTTTCATTTGATATTCATTTTTTTGAAATTCTTCATCCATTGAACCATCCATTCCTACCTAATGTATATATTGATTTATTTGTTCATTAAAATTCATCAGCTCATCATTTTTCATACATTCACTCGTCTGTTGACAAATTTTTATTGGCTGCTATTGATGTGAATAAGCTATTTCTGGTCTGATAATTGCAGTAATTGATCATATTTTGTCCCAGTAAATTTCATTAGACCACATTCATTTAAATCCAGCTGTCAGTGTTTTACTGTTGTTCAAGCAGCTAGCAATTTAAAAATCATTAAATATTGACTGTTAAAAATTTATATACAAACCTGAATTGTACATTATATCAACATTATATGGGGCATAGCATTATAGCTTGTTTCATTCAAGACATTATTATAGGTTCCTTTGGAGCTGTTTTCTTTTGGAGTAAACTTTTGGAGCTAGTCTTTCTTCGGAATCTGTCATTTTTGTGTCCACAGTATTTACCAGTCTACATCAATACAGAAGCAGCAAATGTATCAATAGAGACTGTTGGAAAAGGTTCCTGTTATGTTTGCATTTATTGCAAAAGCTATATGTTGGGCAACCAAGCAAATTTTTGGAAGTATGTTATAAGGTTATCTGAACCTTCATGGTGAGAAAGAGTTCAATGACAAAATGTTTATCTCATCAATGATCCTTGTAAGTATTTGTTTTATTGTTTGTTTATGATTCACTTTCTCAAATATTATTTTGGCATCGTTACCATTAGTCTTTGAGTTAATTGTTTTTTTTTATAAATTCTCTATCCTATCTGTTAGGTATAGGTATGCATTACTGTGGAAGGAGAATTTAATCCTAATTGAATGTAATTAACATGTAATGTACACTCATTTGATACCATAGAATGGATGGCCATTCTCTGTGCCTCTTTTTATTTGAAATTTATCATTTCAGATTTCTTTCTTATTCTTCTGTAGAATTTCAAACCACCCACCCATTTACAGGCTTGTGAATGTAGAATAGATAGAAGTGTATTTTGCTCATTATTAGAGGTAAAAAATGAAAATAACATTTTGCCATGGGATGCACCCACCCCATCATAATGTTTCAGCTGAGGTCAGAGTTATTAAATGAGATCAGTTTATATAAAAAATTTCACTTTCTGTTAAATGGATTGACACTTTTTGCCATTTCATTGTTTTCTATGCCTTTTTTGGGTGCTGAAACTTACTAGGCACTATATAGCTGGTATTGTGCTGATGTGTTGTTAGGCCCTGTTCATGTTTACATGAAAAATGGTATTTCAGTGGGATATTCAGCATGTAGTGTATAATGTGTAGAGGGTAAAAGCTGTTAATATTATTATTGGTTTACTCATTGGCTCTGAAATAATTATAGAGTTGTCACCCAAGACAGGGGTAGGTTAAAATAATCCTTCATTTCTCTTTAACATATGAAAGAAAAAATCTAATTGTGCATGGCAGTTTTATTGATAGTTGGTTGCATGTCTTCAGAAATCTGCTTGAGAATAGTTTTGTCCAAGATTCCAGTCCTCTAGCTGTACTCTTGGACAAATATCAGATGTATATATACTGATTTTTTCAAAGCTTAAACCAGTCTGTGCTACTTCAACCAAATTGATTTTTTGATCCAACAAAATTAAGAATAAAATTTATATCTAAACCTAGTACTGGCATTTTCATATACTCTGAAAATTTGGGTCTCAAATTTTCTGCTGTTTCAGATGGACCTTTGTAATGAACAAAGAGAATTTATATTACTCAACATTATTTAGAAAAAGATTAGGCTTTGCTCTGTTTGATAATACCTTGTATTTTTGTCTACAATTAAATATGTTGCCATCTCATCCCATAGAAGAAGAGTTCTAGCCTATGCTATGTGAAGTTGTCATGCTATGTGAAGTTGTCATGCTATGTGAAGTTGTCATGCTGTGTGAAGTTGTCATGCTATGTGAAGTTGTCATGCTATGTGAAGTTGTCATGCTGTGTGAAGTTGTCATGCTGTGTGAAGTTGTCATGCTTTGTGAAGTTGTCATGCTATGTGAAGTT